TGGCTCACCTCCTCAGCACTGGGGGCAGCTCTGCTCTTTGGCACTGGGGGCAGTAGTACAGTGGCCCAGAAGGCTCCTCCTCAGCACTGGGGGCAGTAGTATGGTGACCCAGAAGGCTCACCTCCTCCATGCTGGGGGCAGCTCTGAAGTTCACTATATTTTTGCTGTGTTTCCTTGAGTCCAGTTCTAAGTTTGGGCACAGCAGAGAGAAAGGGGGACTCTTTTCAAATGAGCTAAGCATTATTTTTGTTTCTACTAAGGAATCATTCCTGAGTAAACTTAAATTGTACATTTTCCTGACACCAAATTCTGTTAAGAAGAAAACAACAGTAATGACTGAGAAGTTACATTGAAATCCACCATGTGAAGTTCTTCTTTTTAATAAAAAGTCTCCCATGACTCTGAGTCACCCTATTCTTCTTAAGTTCTAATTTTGGAAGAGATAAAATACTATGGAAAATGAAGTCCCAGTGACCCAGTGACAGAGCCCCTGATAGGGATTTAGGGCCAGTAATTGTGTCCCAGCTCAGGCAATGACTGAATTTAAGCAAGTCACTTTGCCATCTGAACTATTCCTTGATTTTTAAACAAGAGATTAGACCACTATTTGTATTCATGATATTTTGGAGATCAGAGACCCGTCAGAGTTTCTGCTGAAAATACAGAACTTCTTCCCTCCAAAAAGCACAAATACAACTATAAATAGAATTCTGAGTGGGTCAGAGACTCTCTAAAATCTACCCACAGATTCCCTACAGGACACTTTAGACTGATTTCTAAGCTCTAAAGTATGTGGTCAAAAAAAATCTATTTACATCTACTACTCTCAATTACTTTTAAACTGTGGAGTGGATGATTATGTCATTTGACAGTAAAACTTTTTTTAGAAATGCATTGTTTTCTGTAACACAAAATGTTTACTTTGTAGATTGGTAGCATCTATCTCAGCGAGAGTGAGGTTAAAACCTGCCTCAGGGATGGAAGTTTAGCTTTGACTTGAACAAGTTCAGGGATGAGGAGCTCACGCTCATGTTCATGTTGCTGGGGAAACAGAATTTAGAAACTAGGGTTGCTGATATGGTTTAATGATTGAGCACATGCCTTGAATGTGGAAGGCCCTGAGTTCCAATTCCTGGTACTGCCAGAATGCAGGGGCGGTGTGAGGGGAATGGATATAGGAACTGACTTCTTTATAATGTGGTATAATATCCCTCCCAAGCCATACTTGTCAGCCTTGACCCCATTTCTCAAGGGCTACACAAATTAATTTTATTTTTTTCCAGTATTTTAGGAATTCAAAGGCAGCTTCTACTGTCCTCTCTTAATTCTCTTTATGCTAAATATTCCAGTACCATCTGAAATTCCTCTAGGAAAATGATTTCACATACAGCTTCTTTTAATCAACCCAGATACCCTTTCAATGGTCCTTTCAAACACACATAAAAACCAACACAGAGCTGGAGAGCAGTTTTCATTTTCACCTGCGATTCTGCCATTAGGAATGCCACCAATGTATCAAGAGCTCTGTCCCTAAAAAGAGGTAACTCCTATGAGTTGTGTTAAAACTGTGGTCACCTAAAACCCCTAATTATAATCAATCAAGGTTGCCCTCATACTCTGTTTATTTTAGAACCAAAATAACTTTTCTTAAAACAAAATGAAGAATAAAGGTAAAGAAAGCAAAAAAAGCAAATGAAGGTAGTTGATCTCTACCTGCATTGCTTAGACCATCATCCCAGATCGTGGAAACCCTTTGTAATACCAGTTTTGCATTCATCATGTCACCTCCTTCCCCAAATTTTGTGTCATCTACAAATATACCAAGGTTGCCATCTTGAGCTCCAGAATAATTGGCAAAAATATTGACTTGTGGTTTGTCAAACATAAGCTTCTGTCTATTGATTCACTATTCATAATATTTCACTCAGTTGTCTTACAACTTCATACAGTCCAGATTTAACCACCTGACCTACAGAGCAGGAAGAGCATATAAAGGTTTTACTTGTGAACAACATTTCTTTCTTTTACTTTATTCATTCTCTGTTTTATTTCTTCACACACTCACACCACACATCCTGGTCTAATGCATGACCCCTTTCCCTGTGTGTTCTTTTGCCGTGGAGAAAAGTGCCTCCATTGTGTTTCCTGGGCTTCCTTTGCCTCCTGTTGCCACCAGCACTGGCTGAGTCTGCACATGCCCAGGAAGCTTCCACCCAGAGCCAAGCAACAGCCCCCATGAAGGTGAAGGGTTTTCCTCATGCTCATTAGTATTTGGCAGCAGAGGCCCCTCCAGGAATTTTGTCAACACCCCCAGACCAATATTTTCCCCTCCATCTCTGAAATTACTCAACCATCAAATGAGAGTTTAAAAGACAATTGAAACCCAAAACATACATATGTTTGGGAATAGCAGAAGGGATAGATAGGAAGAAATTTTCCGAAAATGCTCAGCAGACTTTATAATTGAATTTCAGCATCCTTGCATCTATAACCAAATGAATATTGCTCATAGGAAGAGAAAAATATTGATCTAAAGCCTATTGCAAAACACAAATTAAACAACTACCCATTATCCACTTGAAAGGTATGTTAGGTAAACTGTTTTAAAAACCAGAGTTTGTGGCAAACATTCTGAATAACAGCTTTGTGATAATGTATGATCAGCTTCTGCTTCATCAGAACTTTTCACCTGGAAATAATTCATCTCACAATCAAATAAAGCTAGGGAAAGAAATACCATAGTTGTCCAAGTGAGTGATTTTACATTAAAAAGGTATGGTTTTCTTATGTAATTCTGTCACCATTATAACTATAAAGTGAAAGCAATATGGATCAAGATAAATAGACCTCTATTCAAGTGTGGGAAAAGGTTGGTTAATGGTTAAACAGGTTGGAGATTTTAATTACTGATTTTTTTAAGCATTTGATTTTGTTAAACCAATGTTGGCATTAAGTTGTTAACTTTCATTTAAAGAGAACTGTCTCAAACAGAACTGTATTACTTTGCAGTTATCTCATGGAGGAAAGGGATAAGCTCTGGGATGTGTAAACTTGGTGAGGTACAGTCACCTTTGGCTCAGGAAAAGGAGGAGGAGGCTGAATGATGCTTATTTCAGAAGAAACCCTAAGATCCTCAGGACCAGGTTTAGTGTTGGTATTCTAAACCTATGGTAACTCTTAGGAAATGTTAGGAAATTCTGGGTGAATCTCTAAAAAGCTTAACGTGAAACTTATCTCCTGATAATGGAGCTTTACGATACTCATACATTCGTTTGTCCTATACATAGAGGGACTGTGATATGTCAGAACTTCTTTTAGAACCACACTAACCTTGAGCAAATCACTTATTTTCTTCTCTGAGTCTAAACCCACCGTCCAGGTGTTTACCTCATGGACTTGTGAGGAGTCGTGGCTCATATACGATTCCAGTAGCGTGACTGGTTGGATACTCAGTGAACTCCCTTCATTTTGGCTTTGAATTTTGACCTGTTTTCCATGTAATTTATAATAATATGAAATAAGATTCATTCTGTAATAATAAATCTCTCTGTACAGTCTTAGGTCAACAGGAATTGTCAGTGATCTGTATTTTCAAATGAAATTAAGGTATTTAAATATTATTACAACAGATGAAATATTTTTGCAAGATAATCCACCAAGTCCAAGGATGTTGTTCTTTGCCAAATAGTACTCTGGGGTTTGCAGACTACAGTGCATAACATTCACACATTTCTTGAATCTGTTTCATACCAAACGTGAGCAGTGACAGCTCTTCATTTATAAATTCTAACTGGAGCATTGTTTTAGTGATACCTAAAAAACCCCTCATAAATCAATTTTCCAAAATATAAAAAGTATAAAAAAATTCACTTTAAATATTACTATATGTGTACAATGCCAGCCAGAGTGCTGCCTTAGCAGAATAGATTCAAAGGAAATAAAAGACAATCTTGTTTGAATGTAGTTGTAGTGGTGACCGTCCAATTTATACTCCAAATATGAATTAATTTTGAAAAAATAATCTGAATATCAATTTGGTAGAACTGACAAAGGCATATACTACATCATTCCTTCATTAATGCAATCAGTCCATAAAGTGAAGTTATTCCCTGATCTCAAGGAGTTTGTGCTAATGAGAGAAATGAAAACTCACACGCTATATTCACTAGAAGGCAACAGATAGAAGGAGTGCTCCAAGTGCAAGGGGGGGCTATGAGAAAGAGCGAACTAATTCTACAAGGGGAATTAAGGTAGTCTTCAGAGGAGTCAAGGAGATGACTAGGTGTGTGAGGAGGAAGGTGTTTGGCAGCGAGAATGGAAGAAGTGCAGGGAACGGGGAAGAGTAGGTTACAATTAGGTTAAAGCACAAATTAATGTGAGGGGCTGGAAAAAGAGCTGGTGAGAAATGAGGCCAAAAGGCAGGGAGAAATCAGGTCCTTTGAGAACTGGTGGAGCAGGCAAGGGGATGCCAACGTTTTTTCCACTCTGTAACTCCGGTTAGTAGAGAATTTTGAATAGAGGAGCTCAATAGTCCAATGGGTACGTTCAAGCTCCAAAAGAATATGAACAATATTGTGATTGTCTCGTTGTTTACAAATTACACACACTCTCTCTTTTGTTCTTAGGAGTTTCAATGGGTCTCTTTGTAGTCAAGTTGAAGGATGCCAACAGCAATATTTGAACTACTTGGCTCATGAGAATAATAATAAGAGCTTGTGAACAGATTTTTAGTTCATAGTGTTTTAATAGGCTGTGATGCAATTCTTAATAGAGAAGATTTAATTATAAAAGATAGCTTGTCTTTAATGGAAATTTGGCTGGGTGTGTTTTCGTTGCTCAGTGATTGAAAGGTTTATATAGGATTACATTGTTGAGATTCTTGGAGAAAGGCACATAGACACCATTGAAAATGTTCCACTCATTTATCCCTTCCAACAAAGCAGTGAATCTACTAGAAAGAAATTTCACTTGAATTTTGCATATTTTTTTTATAATTTCAGGGGTTAAACATCTGAAAGGCCAGAATGAATCAGCATTCCCTGAAGAAGAAGAAGGTGTAAATGAAAGAGAGGCGCCGTGGGACCATTAATTACCAGATTGGAGTAGGAAGGCCTCTCGGGAATAAATGAACTGTTAATTTTTCTGAACATCCCAGGAACCCCAGGGCTTGAGTATCAGAAGCACTCCACACATTCGCAGCAGTAACACACCTCCTGGAAGCCCTCCTCCACCGAACTCTAGGACTAGGTACCCTGTGCTCCACACCACACCTAATTAAGCAATGAGCATTTATTTTATAGTGATATTCTTTTGAAATTTGCAAATGTGTGACTGTTCTGACTTTAATATTACCAGAGCTTAATCCCTTGTGTCCCACTAATAGGGTTTGCATTCTAGAGTCAAGTGTAAATGGCATCACTTTAATAGTAAAACACACATATTTAATACACTTAGACATGAATGTGTATGGGGGGTTAACTTAAAGAGGACTGTCTAATGAAACTTTTAAGACTTGTGCTTGTGATGTTTCTGTATATAGAATAAAACATAGAGCTTATTTCAAAAAGATAAAGAAATGTCAGATGTTCCTGATTGGAATCCCTATTACATCAAATACTAAACAGTTTACCCCTCCAACTGCACACTGATGGTTGCGTAGAGAATCATAGAATTCTCATTTTCTAAGTTGCACAAATATATGTCCCAGTATTTAAGCTAGTTATTTAGAAAGAAAAGTGCTAAATCTCTAATAAAATATGAAAAATCTCTTCTGCTTCTTTTTTGGCTATTACTTGAAATTTAGGCCATCTATTTCTTATTACATTTTAATAAATCATTAGCATTTTATAAATCTTCCATGTTATAACATAAGAAATTACATCAATTCATCCATATACTCACTCATCAATTCAACAACTATGTTTCAAATGACCTTATCCCTAGGAAGGTACTCTGCTGGCAGTTATGAAAATAAAATAAATTCTTACCTTGTACAACTGACATTAGTATAAAGTAAATATTTACAAGACAGTATATATTTATTGAATATGACTCTGATAACTCAAAGTTCTATTGTTGTGAATAATTTAATTACCCATGACATTTCAATTCAAAATACAATGGGGATGGGGGATTATTCATTTTGTTTCTTACATTAATATTAATAAACTTCAACTGTTTCTTAAAGAAAAAGAAAAAAATTTCAAAAATTGGTAAAGGAGAAATGAAAAGAGGGAGAAAAAAATAAAATGCAAATTTCACTGCAAAATCTTAATACCAAGATTCGAAGAAATGAAATGATCATTTTGAAGTTTGAATGTGAGTTTTATAATGATTAAGAGAGTTAAATGAAGGGGCTGGGGATTTAGCTCAGTGTTTCCTCCACCTGTCTCGCAAGCACAAGGTCCCGAGTTCAATCCCTGGTACCAAAAAAAACAGAGAGAGAGAGAGAGAGAGAGTTAGTTAAATGAAGCTATGGAAATGTAGTAGAAATAACAATTATTTTCCTTAGTATAAATTCCCCAAGAATATAAACACAAAATTAATTGACAACTGGTACCATATGAAGAGTATAAATGAGTACTCTAGTTCTTTCTTTCCCTCCATCGCCTTTCTTCCGTCCTCTTTCTCTTTCCCTCCTTACCTCTCTCTTCTCTTTTACTCTCTTTCTTCACCCCCATACTTGTTGTTGTTAAGCCTGTTTCTGCTGAAACTTTCTAGAATTTCTAGATCAACTGTGATAATTATTTGTTTGATTTCCTAAGTTTCTCTCCACCTATATATAAAACCTGATTCAGTCCCTCTTTAATAAGTGATTTTGAATTCACATTTGGAAAAAAAATCCTGATACCCGTTGAGAATATTTGAGACACCCTGAGGTACAAAAAATAAAATTGCTCATCCCTTTCCTTGAATACACAATTTAATAGGTGTTTATTTTTAAAGGATTTAGGCAAACAGAAAGAAACCATGATTTTGTAACATCATTTGTAGAAATAAACAGCATGGCTCTGGATTCTTTTCTTCTGTTCTCCTTTCTCAACAACATAAAGGTATCAAAAGTAAAAGCGTAAGTTTTCCTTGGAAATGTTTATTTCTTCTGTTCTCCACTCTCAAAATATAAAGAAATTACCATTGACAGCTTATGTTTTTCTGGACAATGTGTTGGCTTTCTCAGAAATTTGAAGGAAGCCAGTTGAGATCATGGATTTTCAGTTGCCTTTTTTCACAATTGTAGTTTACAATATAAAAGTTTTGTAAGAAGACAGCATGGCTACAGTTGAGCTGAGTGGGTAAAAAAAACCTTTCTAAACAAAACAAACAAAATTTTTATATTTCTCAGATCACATTGATAATATAATATGATGGTTAGCAGACTGGCATTGAGTCACTTTAACTTGGATTCAAATTCAACTTCTACCTGATTTTAGACTTGTTTATTCCATTTGTAAAATAGGTACAAGTCATACCTAACCGATTATGTTGTTAGGAGACTTAGATGAATGCCCACCCTAGCTTGGTACATTTAATAACTGATGTGTATTATTATTAAAGTTAGAAAGGACCTCAGAGAACACCTGTCTAAATCTCAGCTAATGCATGATCCTGTTCACCATCACACACAAGTGATCCCCCCACTCATTCTTGAGTAACTCCACCGGTCCTCCAAAGCAAACAAAGAGCTCAGATTATGCTTCTGTGCTAAACTCCCTTCTCCTATTTACACCTTACCTTTACTGCTTTACTTATTTAAGAAGATTGCAGAATAGCTTTAACTCCTTTCCTTATGTCTCAGCTATCTGGATCGTGAGAAATCTTTGATGCTATATCCTAAGTGTTCTCTCATTTCTTCAGGAAAACATTATCAGTTCCGCTCCAACTTTTCTCATTTGGTCCTCCTCAGTTGTTTATACTTAATGTAAGAGTTATGGCCTCTAAATAAGTTTCAGATTAGCTCCCCCAGCCACATACATGAGAAAGAGGCAAAGAATGTATTGGCAGGAGTCTAGACCAAAGTAGTTTCTATTGGACAATAAATTTGTAAACCCTTTTTCTTTTCCGACTTGTCAAAGATTAAGGTCTTCATAATAAATATATGTCAGTAGTCTCCAAATTGTGAAAAATAAGATGATTTTAGGTTGGCCAAGAACAAATTATTTTTATTTTTATAGTTAAACATGGTACTATAATATGCATAAAACTGCATAACCAGTAACCCCAAATCTATGATTTTGTAGTTATTATTACTTCTGGTGGTGCAAATTTAGAATATGAACATATTTGAAGTCCATTTAAGGAAAAATATCAGATAACTACAGTAGAAATAGTACCCCCAAGTCACAAAAGTAATATACATTCAAACAAACTTTCAGAAACATTGGATTTTGGATATTGTCATAGCAAACAACTTAAATATAAATATTACAGAATTCATTTAATTGCAATATGGATATTTAATTCATAAATAGGTATATTGCATTAATTTAGAAAGTCTTTATATGGTTTTTATCTATATCTAAAAGCAAACATTTTAAGAGCAGAATAAATAATAGAAAAATGTGTCTACTTACATGAAAATGTTGATACCAATAGGTAATTCTGAGTATTTGCTTTCTCTGAGTAAGGAGGATATGGGAAGAAATACCTTTATTTTTAAATGGCTGATTTAAAAATCAGTCCCCAAAACTCCAAGAGGTATATTAGTTAATAAACATATTACTATAATCTGAAATCTCTTAAAGAAATTACGTTATTGCACTTTATAACATCATCACATTCTGAACTAAATATCAGAGAAAGAACTTTAGAAAAATTCCAGGGCAGCACTTGTTGTTTTAAATGACATAATAAGTGACAAAAGTACCAGGCTTGGCAAAATTTGGAGATCAATAAGGGTAAATGTTTCTATTCTGCCACAGTATGTGACTCTAAGGAAATAATCTACATGAAAGCTTAAGTGCTAGACTGTTTCACAAATAAACTCTCATTCACCTGTAGCTCTTTTCTTGAAATTCATTTTGTGGACACAGACAACGACGCTTTTAACTGTCTAGTTTATGCTGATAATGAAACTTGGTCTGCAGAGGGAAGATGAACTTGAGAATGGAGAGAAAAGTAGGTGAGGTTAATTTAAAGAATCTTGGAGACTTTAAGAAAAAACCCTGGATAGAATAGACTAAAATGATACTGAATTCATCTTCATTTTTATTCTTTACTCTACTAATATGACTTTGTATTTTCCCCCTTTCTCTAACTTACAGCAACAACGAGGCTAATTTAAGGCAATGAGAATAGTAAATCCCAGTAAGTCTAGACGCTACCCTGAGAATCCTCAGCTAACAGAATAGTAGGGTATATTCGGCAAACGGTTTTTCAGAATAGCTGTTAAAGGCAGAAGTCCACCCGAAGTTCGAGAAAATAAACTCACAAGTTCTGTAGAGCACACATTACCCTAGGCTTTGTTTTCCAGAGCCAAGACCAGCCTGCAGGAGGGAGAGTTTTTTCCAACTGGGAAACATCACCGAGTTCTGGTTTGCATCCTTCATTTTGGAGGTGGGAATATGGGCCTAGAGGATTTTTCCTCAGATGTATACACTTAGAAAATAAATTCAAAACACTGTCAGGTGGGAAAGCATTTGGCAGCAAATAATAGGAAATCAGCAAAAATGACACCAAGTTTGTTTCTGTCAGGCAGTAAAATATCCAGGATTCGCACAGCGAAGCAAAAGGTACTTCGCTTTTTCCTTAACAGTCTTGGAGTTGTAACCTCGGGTCCTAAGAGATGCTGCTCCAGGCATCTGGTAGGTTCTGCGAAGAAAGAATAGTGGGGAGAGAAAGGAGAAGAATCTGGAGCAGAGAACCAAAGCTTCCCCAGAAACCCACAACTAATGTCTTGTGGACCAGAATGGTGTCACCAGGTCAACCCCTGATGCAGGTGAGTTTGAGAAAGTAAACACATTTAACTGAGTATCTTGCCACATCTCGATTCAATTAATGTTCTCATTGGGAAAGTGGTCATGGGTATTGGTTGAACAGCTGGTAGTATCAGTTCCCAAACGAGCAGGATTAATGAACTTTCTCATATTCCTGGGACACGGAAGCCCACTCGACTTATAACTGTCATGAAGTTGAAAACATCAACACTCCCCATATATTTTTATTAATTAAAAGTACAGAAGTTAGGTAAAGTTTATGATCTACCTCTTGCTAGATAAAACCATCCATGTATTTTAATTATTCTATATTCTTTTATAGGATTATTTGGTATAGTTTTATAAATGTATTTTACAGATAAGACACCAACATTGTAGTTTATTAATCAATAAATAGATATCAGTCGTCTAGACATTCTATACCCTTCAAATTGTGGGGACACAAATATTAATGAGATAGTGAAGTTCCTTAAATCCACAGGCCTATATACTGTAATGTTCTGAAGATAGTCAATATACACATGAGGCCATAAGATAGATGGTTGCAGATAACGATGAATTTCTGGAAGGGAATAAAGCAAAGGGATACGGCGGAGGGTGACGTCTTCCCTTTGTTGTAGAAGTTTGGAATTCAGCAGTTCCTTTAACCATTCGAGAGCTCAGATTTCTGACCATTGCCCAGTGGAAAGATAGCCAGATGACCACATGAGGGACCCTGCGACTCTACAATACATGCTTCTCACCTCTAATTCTCTTTCAGGAACCAGAGGAATGCAGCAAAGGAGACAAGAAATGGGAACAGATGGAAAACAACAGTGTTAGGGGAAGACAGGA